GAAAACCAAACTCAAAAGTTCTGTCAAGGATATTGTGAAGATTGTAAGTAATAATAAATTTCATTTTACTTTTTTGTTGTATAGATTGCTACCAGTTTCTGAAAGTTTCTTTTTTTGTGTGGCTTTGTTGTCAGCGAGTGGATATAAAAAAGTGACCAATCTATATACTTTGGACCAGGTTTGTGACAACAGGCTGCAAGCCTAGGGTGCGAACTTGATCGCTCTTAGGAGCTAGGGAATAAGGGTGCACCCACGTATATATAAGCCAGAAATCTGCCTGCTGGTCTCATTAATAGTACATGTATTCCATACATTAGGCGAAGTAAAAAAAATGTTTGTCGTCCGGATTTTTGAAAAAAAAAAGAAGAAGGAAGTGGGGCTTGCCATTTTTTATTTTTTATTCTTTTCAAGATGGACGCTAGTTTTAAATGTTTTGCAAATTATTCGTGTTTCCACTGTTCAAAGACATGTTAAAATGAAAGACAAGTCGGACAAAAGAACTGAACATATTTACAGTGTCGTTTAGTGTTGTATTGGTTTACAATGAACAGGTTTAGATGCATTTGCAATAACTGCCAAAATTCGAGATTTATTTTTGATGAGTTTTACAGATAAAATCAAGCACCAAATGTCAACTCTCAAAACCTGTAAGTGTCCACGCAAAGCTATAAATAAAAATGTGTTTGTGTTTTTCCATAAACATATGAAGATTGATTAAAAATATTTGAGGCGTTTTTTTTTTACATTTTGTCGGTTTACTTTTGCAAGTCTATATTTTTTCTACTACAAAAACCTAACCTTTTGGACTTGTGACATACAATGTATCCATCGCCTTTAACAAAAGTTTGTTGACTTGCGCTTTGAAGAAACGAAACAAAAGATTAAGGCTTATGGTGAGCATGTATGCATGAATGACAGAAAACATCGGCCGCGCTAGACTGTTCCCCCCCTCCCCTACAGTTTTCTAAGTCTGAAAGCATCGATGAAAATCGGATCAGGAACTAGACTACGACCGAGCGTGCGAATTCTTTAACTGGTCCTTGCGTACAAGTCATATTCCAACAGTTTTTAAATTTTCTAATACATGTATTGTGCCCATACCCAAAAGAATGTTACTTCGTCACTTAATGATTGTCATCCTGTCGCAATTACTTCAGTTATTATGAAATGTTTTGATCGTTTAGTTCTCAATTTTATGAAATATGTTTTGCCAAATTCTATGGACCCACAACAGTTTGCTTACCAGTGTAATAGGTCATGTGATGAGGCCATGTCACTTACACTTTACCATGTTTTTCGTCATCTTGATATTAGTGAACCGTCTTATGTTTGATTAGTATTTATTGATTTTAGTTCTGCTTTTAACACCATTCTACCTCATAAGTTGTTCAGTAAATTAGTAAATTTGAATATTTTGCCTTGTGCCCTGTGCCACTGGATATTTGTCTTTTTGACGGCTAGGCCTCAGCGAGTAAGAATTGGTAATCATTTTTCTGTAACGAGATTACTGAATACTGGAGCCCCACAGGGTTGTGTCTTGAATCCATTGTTATATTCACTGATGACGCATGACTGCGTTTCACTTGGTAATAACGTAGTAAATAAGTTTGCTGATGTTACGTGCGGAGAATGCACGGCAGAATTAAAA